GGCAGAAACCCTAAACCCCGAATTTTTCTTGATCCAAAAAACAACCAATTTTTCCACCATTAAATCGTTAAAAAAGCTGATTAAAGCTGTTTACAGCCTGAAAAACAGATCACGTGCCGAAAAAAACAAAAAAAATGATCAAAAAATGACAAATTTGAAAAAAATCCGTGAAGAACACTGTGCAACCCGTGTTCTTCACGGACTCGCCGATTCCGCACAGTGAATCGGCGAGTCACTGTGCGGAATCGTTCGGTTCTCTCTAGAACCGGACGATTCCCGATTTTTGAACCGATCCGGTCCCTTTTTCGTGAATTTCGAGTCGAACCGGGCGAGTCCGGTTCGACTCGGCGATTTTTAAAACGCTGGTTTACGAGAGTGACGCTCAACCACTGAGCTAGGGAGGCTATTGTTATGATTTCATTTCAAATTAAAATATTGTTATCCATTATTTCTTTGTGCCTTTCATATCTCTCCTCTCCCGCCGTTGAAGCCCTCAAATTTGTTGGAATCCCCGCGTTTCATAATCACATTCAGGTGCAGAAAAATCCACAACAAAATTTTCTCCATGAAAACTAAACCTCCCATCAAATGAAGCTAAAAAATGCAGTCATCACAAGACTGCGATAAAAACAGTTTTGCGAAGACCACTTGTAGCATGTGCTTCGAAGATTCAAGCCCATCACAGAGGATCTCCTATGCATCTCAACATGCGGCTATGTCTTTCACGACCTCTGGTACTCCTTTCCCTCTCTGTTTCCTTTTAATCGTTTGTTTGGTTTTTGATGGATTGAGCTACTGAGTGAAAATGGCTACTACTGTATTGGGTGTTATTTAACGAATTTTGTGCTTTTGGTTATTGGGTTTCTTCATGGATTGATTTTTCATGGCAATGGTTGTTCCTTTAATCTCAGAATCAAAAGATTCTGCAACGTTGGGGTTTTTAAGAATGGAGTTGTTGGGGGTAGAAGCTCGAAACAAATGTTCACTATTATCTCAGGAGGTTTTTTTTTTCTAGTTGGCCTTTCACTGGTCTGAATTAACAGGTGGAGAAGTGTGAAACAATGTTTTTTTATGTTTTGGGTGTCAGAAATTTAACTGAATTTCGTTCTTTTTGGGTTTCTACTGAATTTAGTTTGGGTAGAAAAGCCTGCAAAAGTGATTACTCTGGTCTCAGAAATTTCAGGGTTTTTTACGGATCAATTCACTGGGTGGAAAAGCCCTTAATTCATTACTTCATTTTGTTTGAGATTTTTGCTTTCATTTCTTATTGGGGTTTTAATAGCTTTAGGAAATGCATTGTCTCCGGAGTTTATTTTCGTTAATTTTTCCTTATTGGGTTTCACTGGCCTGAATTTCTTGGTGAAGTGTGCAGCAATGTTTTTCTTCTTTCACGAAATTTCTTTCTTGTTGGGTTTCTAATGAATTGAGTTTGGGTAGAAAAGCCTGCAAAAGTGATTTCTTTGGTCTCAGAAATTTCAAGGTTCGTTTAGTTCTTATTGGGTTTTTAATAGTTTAGCAGATGATGTGAAGAAGGGTAGAAATGGTTCATTTTGTCTCAGAAATTTCTGAGTCTCATTCCTTGCTGGGATTCCAACAATTTTCAGCTAGAAAAAACATGCACAGGTGCTTCCTTTTGTCTAAGAAATTTCTTCACTTTCTATATTCTTAGGAATTTTGATGACGTGAGTTTTTACCCAGAGAGCACGTAAAAATTGTTCCTTTTTTCTCAGAAATTTATTTATTTATTTGTTGGGATTTTAGTGACTTGAGTATTTTGTTGGACATAGCCTACACCAATGGTTTGAGTATTGCCCTATTGGGAAGAAGAACAGTTGCCCTATATGCAAGCAACACTGTAGCCAGTAGAATGTTACCAGGCTTTTCTTTCAGTCAATATCTGAATGCACGCATCCTGATGCTTCAAAAAAATCATTGCTTTCAGGTTCTGGTGAGCTCGATCATGTGAAGGCTGAGGTGAGCTCTGTGTTTTCAGTTGTCTTTCATTAAAAAGGCTCTATCATTTTTGTTGGGATTTTCCCTGCTGTGTGTGTCTGAGAGAGAGAGAGAGAGAGAGAGAGAGAGAGTTAGTTAGTTAGTTAGTTTAACGACTACTAGTGAGTCGTTAGGTAGTAGGTTAATTTAGTTGTGTAGTAGTAGTAGTAAACTACGTCGGTTGGGTTGTCGTCTCGTGTCGT